ATCCCGCAGATGACCAGGGCCGCAATCACTGCCCCCGCCGACGTCCCGGCAAAGCGATGGGTCGTTTCCAGCATCCGGGGGGCCAAGTCTCGCAGGGCATCCACGGCCCCGGCCTGGTAGAAGGAGAGAAATCCACTGCCGGAGAAAGAGATGGAATGAGGAGTGTCTGGGTCCCCCTTGAACACCTGTTCTTCCATCTCCTTGGCCCCTCAGTGCTTGCCTCTGGCTGCTGTCCTACTGGAACTCAGGGCCAAGCTTCCCTGCCGGCCCGGAGCCTAGAGTGGGGCCGTCTCTCCCGGGTCGGCTGGGACACTCACGGGCGGCTCAGGCAGCCACCGCCTGGGCTTGTCGGGCTCCTCCGGGAGGCAGTCCCAAAGGCTGGTACAAGGTCTCGGGCCCAGGTCGAGGGGCAGAAGGCACCCCGGGTGTGCGAGCGGCGTCCTGGACCTCCGAGCGCGCCTCTGGCTTCATTGTGTGGCTAGGTTCATCTCTGGCACAGACTCCTCAGCCCTTGTCCCGTGCTGCGTTCAGCTAGCAGACCGGCAACCGCCACCAGGGCCATCCCAAAGAGGCAGGCACTGCTCAGCTGTCAGCCCAGGAGGCTTCACACACTGAGTTGCAAAACCTCCACTGATGGTTATCATAGGGTGTCTCTGACACGCTGCGGCAGCAAAGGAATTATGTGTTGGCCTCCCTCCAAGAGGATGGTGTCCCCTCCCCGACAGGGGCAGGGCCGGCAGGTTGGCTATTATGGTCTTTGAGGGGGACCCACTCACTCCACCTGTGCCCCCCGACAGCATCGCCCCTCCCCAGGCTCCTTCTCCAGGCTCTACGGGCCACGCAAGGTGTGTTACACAATTGTTTTTATTTGCTCTTATGCAAGACCGTGTGTGTTTGTTCACGTGTTAGGACTGGCCACGGGCAAAATTGTAAAGGAAGAGAAGTCAGGCTTCAGGGCCCCACCCATCACTACCTCACCATCTCTCCCCACCTTTCCTCTCCAGCCCTGCACTGACCCACTCACGCTCAGCACCCTCTCACCAAGTGCCAGACTTCCATGCTGTCTCCTAAGTGTACAGGAAAAAAGTCAACCTGAAATCTGGACATTCTAAGTGATGGGAGCTTCATACTTCTAATCATAAGTTGGAGAGGGCAAAATTTAACCCCAAGAAAGAACAGCCTTGGGAGGCCAGACAGGGGGGCATTGGGGTCAGGGCCGAGAGGTGTTTGGAGCCCAGAGGGCAAAGGAAGTGGTGCGTGGGGACCAAGGTTGGCTCCAGGGAGCATCGGTCATGCCCCTTCTGGAGCTGTGTAATGTGCCCCGGAGAGGAGGACCATTCCTCAGCCCACAAATTTCTCTGCCTAGGATACCAAAAAGCTGAAAAGTGGCAAAATCACATCTCTCCCCTCCCCCCAACCCAAGACCATACAGTGGTAGGACCAGAATTAGCATTGAGACACCAAGTCTCCCACTCGACGCTCAGCCCAGCTCCACACTCTGTTAGGATGCGATGTCAGTGCTTCCCCCTGTCCCAGGGAACCCCCACCAACTCGTGGCCCCACGGATCCACACTGGAATCCACAATGAGGGCAACACCCGGGATTCAGTTAGGAGGAAGTTTTCTCTCTTGGGTGGATAGTTCCAGATATATAATTGTCTCCTCCATCTGGGAAGGGACCTTTTGATTAACTGTGTGTTGTAACAGGGACAACATGTGCGTCTGTGAGTACAGACAGAGGGACGCGAGGCTTTACCGCTGGTGGGCAGGATGGCGGGACGTGACAGGTGGAGTCCAACCAGCTTTCGGAACATGGAGACCCTGCCTCCTTCCTGGGAAACCAGGTCAGCTCCACTGAGTATTTGCGCACCCAGCTCTGTGTCGGGGGCCCGGGGGACGGGAGTGTGTAGAAGCACCATCCTTGAACTCAGACACTCGCAGGCTTCTTGGGAATAAGGCAAAGCCAACGTGAAACAGCCAGAGAAGCACACACGGCAGTCTATATAATTAAGGACCAAACTGCACAGAGCTGAGATTCCTGCCAGGGAAGTTAAGATCCGAGGGTGAGTAGCGTGGGCTGGACCCACCAGAGAAGCCATGCGGTGGAACCCTGGGGTGGGGGGATTTGAAGAAACTGGAAGGAAGAGGGAAGGTATAATGGCAAGGAACAGTACAAACTCCCCGCAGAAGGCGGAAAGGGCGTGATGGAGGGCAGTTACCCAGGATGAAGGGCTTTGGATCACACCGACACGAGTTGAATCCCAGTTCTGCTATTTATTTTTTTTAATTTTTTTTATGGTTATTTATTTTTGAGAGAGAGGGAGAGACAGAGCACGAGCAAGGGAGGGGCAGAGAGAGAGGGAGACACAGACTCTGAAGCAGGATCCAGGCTCCGAGCTGTCAGCACAGAGCCCGACGCGGGGCTCGAACTCACGAACCCCGAGATCATGACCTGAGCCGAAGTCGGACACTCAGCCGACTGAGCCACCCAGGCGCCCCCTCCCAGTTTGCTATTTATAGGGAGCGTGACCTGCGTGTGAGGCTCCTGGCCTCAGTTTTGCTCATCTGTGAAAGGGACGATAATACCTATGCTGTGGCTATAAAGGTTAAAGATACGGCTGTAAAATGCCTGGCACGTGGTACCTCTGCTATTATTAAGGGGTAGTAAGTGGAGGCTTCTGGAGCAGATGGACCTGGGAGATAAGATAATAGAAACGTGGGCTCTGAAGAGGGAGGCATGATCCACTCTCGACCTTCGGGAGCTGGCAGCGGGCTCGGACAGGGCAGTGAGACCAGGACTGGAGGGTGGGGAAGGAGAACAGCACTGTATCCTCCTAGAGATGTTGGTGGCCAGGCCAGCGCCAAAGCGGAAGGAAGACGAGGTAATGAAGCCAACGCTGCAGAGACTCTCATGACCAGGTGATTGGTTGGGTGAAGAGGGGTCACTGCTGATGCCTCGTTCTCAGCCTGGGGGTTGGGAGGGGTAGGGCGGCCTTTGCCTAACTGGAGGAGACTGGGACAGGGCAGGGGAAACTGAGTTCACTTGAAGACGTGTCTGAGAGAACAAGACGATGAGGGAGCTGGAGGGGGGGAGGGGGGAGGGAAGGCTCCAGAGAGGGGGCAGAGACCCCTGCCATTGAGGCAGGAGAGAAGGGTAAGCATTTGGAGGTTGGCACAGGGTTCCGTTGAAGAAAGACAACCTCGGGCCAGTAGTCTCCTTCCAGAATCATGTTGCCATCCCCAAGGAAGCAGGAAGCAAGACCACCTTGCTCTGCACAGGCTGCGAGGCCTCGGGAAAGCTGGGGCCCGCCATCCTTTCAAGGACGGTGCCCTGCCCTGACCTGGCCTCAGGAGCCCCCACCGCCCCGGCCTGGCTGTTGGGTCGGGGTGTCGTCTTCGCTGAGGGCACTTATCTGCCGGGGACGATGGAGGCCCTGGCAGGTGCAGCACAGCCTCTCTGCAAACGGGCAACCCAGAAAGTCAGGATAGCACACAAGGAGGCCCCGTGGGCGCTGCTGACGTATTCCCCCAGTGCTGACCCCGGCGGACTGCTTCTCGCATCTTCTCCTGCGCCTCGGAGTCAAACCACTGGGAAGGTTCATCTCGTTTCCCCTTGTTCCGGATGTTATACTGAAAGCCCCCAGAACTCCAAGTGGACGACGTCAAGAAAGGATCCCACTGCAACATTTCTGCGCCTCATTTTTCAGGTCAGCTCATAATCCTCTCAGGTGTTTTGAACGAAGTTAGCACGGCCCATGTGACTCATCAGCCCCTGGGGCAATCACAGGCAGGAAGAGGAGACTGCTTACCGCACACAATCCCATCAAGATGACCCCAAATGAATTTATGGAAGAACCTGCAGTTCCCATTCTAGAAAATGTGTGAAGACACCCAGGACACACATTCTCGGGGAGAAAGGCAGAGGGGAGACTGAGTTAGCCTTTCACTGATGATGCCCCGCCCTCTGCTTAAATGTTGTAAAATATTTTTTTTTTTTTTTAATTTTTTTTTTTTTTTTTAACGCTTATTTTATTTTTTTTTGGGACAGACAGAGTATGAACGGGAGGGGCAGAGAGAGGAGACAGAATCGAAACAGGCTCCAGGGCCCGGTTATCAGCCTAGAGCCTGATGCGGGTCAACTCACGGATCATGGTAGGATCGCGACCCGCTGAAGTCGGACGCTTAACCTACCCCACCCAGGCTTCTCTTTAAAAATATTTCTTTAGTGAAGAAACTTCGTTGTTTCTTGAGGCGAGAGAGTATGAAGGTCACAGCATCACCCGTGAATAATCTTGCCAATAATGTTTAACCCGAATCTGATTAAGACTTACTTTCCAGGGGCTTGGTGATTTTAGTCGGTTGGGCGGCTGTCCGACTTCAGCCAGGTCACGATCTGCTGTCCCAGGAGTTCGAGCTCCGCTGTCGGGGTTTCGCTGATGGTCTGAGCCTGGAGCCTGTTTCCGATCTCTGCCCCTCTCTGCCCTCCCCCGCTCATGCTCTGTCTCTCTCTGTCCCAAAAATAAAAATTAAAAAAACGTTGAAAAAAAAATTAAAAAAAAAAACAAAAAAAACTTACTTTCCAGTTTACAGTGAATGCAGAGTGTGAAGGAAAAAGCTAAGGGTGCCGGGTGAAAACAACCAGACAGATTGCAACTGTGGGCAGGGCTGGTAGATACTGTTGTTGCTCCACAACAGTCGTTCCCGGGCCACTTGTTCTTTGGCCACTTCCCTATAAAGCAGCTAAAAGCCCTGATACTTGATTTCCCGGTGCGCTGCCCACCCCCCTCCCCCACCCTTGCATCTAGAAACAATCATGAGATCCTGTTCTTGTCAATGTGAAGTAAGGGGAAATCTGCTAGTGGCTTCTAGGAAGTATTTTCCTCCTTGGTGAAGGAAGAAGGTACAGAGAGAAAGCCCCTTTGGCTCCATCCTCCATTGTTCCTGTCTGAGATGCTGCCCTGTGAGAATGTGATGTTTGGAGCTTGTGCCCATCAGGGGAAACATGGTGGACACATGGATTTTATTCATTATCTATTGCTGTGTCACAAATTACCTCAAAACTTAATCTCTTAAAGTAACATTTATGATTGTACATAGCTTCTGAGGATTAGGAACCCAGAA